ACAGGGAGACCGCGGTGGAGGCGTGCAGCTACGACCCATGGAATACGAACGTTAGGCACGTCGGCCTTCTGCTCCAGAGGAAACACTGTGGTGTAGCGCGTGAAGTCGTCGACGAGCACGAGGAAGTAGCGCTCGCGACGCGGTCAACGGACAGGGGCTGGGCCCCAGACGTCCAGGTGCAGGGTCTGGAGGGGTGTGGTGGCAGGACGAAGCGAGGAGGAGTGAGAAGCACGGCGGAGCCGGCCCTGGACACAGGGCGTGCACGGTGGCGCAGGCGGGGGAGGGAGGGCAGGAAACGACGCAGAGAGGCCTAGGACGAGACCTTGCTGGGACATGTGACGCAGACGCGGGAGCGCGGGGTGACCTAGGCGTTGGTGCCACAGAAGCGACAGGTGAGTGAGCGACCGACACGAGCACGTAGCAGCGACCGGGGTAGACGCAGGACGCGGGGGGGACGGTCCACCTAGGGGGGAAGCAGTGTCCAGCGTAAAGAGGCCAGACACCGGGTCCCGGGGAAACGTAGCAAGGGGGGAACTTGAGGTGGCCTCGGAACAGACCGCGTATTGCTCGTGACCCGGGAACGTAGTGGTGATGCCAAGGTCCTGAAGACGGCCGACACCACCTAAGTTCTGGGAGAACGAGGGGATGTGCAGACCTATAAGGGAACCCGAGGGAACCGCTGGACAGGGAAGGGTAGTGTAGCTGCGAGCAACTACAGGACCAGAGGAGGGGTCAGAAAGGGCGACAGCGGCAGGTGCGGCAAGCGGCGTAAGCTCAGCGTGGTCGCAGAAGAAGCAAGCAGACGCACCGGAGTCCAATGTGAAGGACAGCGAAGCAGAACCGGCAGTTGAAGAAGGAGCGAGTGTGAAGCCTAGGCTAGACAAAGCAAGCGGTCTTACGCCTGACGCAGCAGGGGAGTCTGTACTACACACAGGTGCTATGCCTAGGCTAGCAAACACAGGATAGTAAGGTCTAGACACACTAGAAGCGTCAGCATACAGAGAATGCAGGGCATAACTACAGTGACGGAAACAATTGTCCGGATGTTTTGCATTACTTCGGGCTTTTGGGCTTTCCGACCACTATACATAAAGTCTTCATGTTTAATGGTGGTATGCTTTGGAAGGGGCACATACTGGATGTGTTCACAGCACTAAAATCCATGATAGTACACTGTATCTAACTTAGTGCCAAAGGATATGCAAAGAGTACATCCGGACAATTTTTTCCTAGGACAAATAGCAAACTTCCGAGCAACGTTTCTAGTACCTAGTCCACCGACACTTGGCCTTGGTCACCACGCGCACCCTCCTAGACATGTTATCTACGAGGCTAGTGCAAACCTTTGCAACGATCTTCTCGCACTCTTCCTGGAACCACGCTTTTGCATAAGGGGGTGAGCATTAGGAAAATTGCGAAGGATTTGAGCGTCTGCAAGAGTATTGTGCACGATTTCAGATTGAATGTTATCTCTGAGACTAGCCACGCTGAGGTGTGGCCAAAGATGCCATAAGTCGATTGGTCCCGTCTTATCATGGATCGTCTTCCTCGTACCGTTGTAGGGTAAATTTACAGGCAGACTGGCGAAAACTAACGTATTTGCCGTGAAACTTAGGGTAACATAGCACGGCCGACAGTGCACCCTTGCACTCTAAGAATCACGGTAGTATCCGTAGGTCTCGTCACGGTGCAACAGTCGAAAAAGTCACGACTGTTTAGAAATATTATCCGGGTTGAGGTCTGGTGAGGAGAAGGGCCACTCCAGCACAACATACTCATGCTCTCCAAGCCATTCTAAGCCATGTGTCCCGCCTAGGCTTGGAATGGCTTGGAGAGCATGAGTTTGTAGCACTGGAGTGACCCTCTTCCTCACCAGACCTCAACCCGGATATTCTTCCCCACCGATCGGGGCTTTTTTGACTACTGCACCATGACGAGACCCATATATTTTAACGTGATTCCGTTAGTGAAAGGGAGCACAGTCGAGCGTGCTATGTTACCCTAAGTTTCGCAACGGATACGCTAGTTTTCGCCACTCTGCTCGTAATTTTTTCCTACAATGGTACGATGAAGACGATCCATGTTAAAATGGGACTAATCAACTTATGGCATCTTTGGCCACACCTCAACATGACTAGTGCCAGAGATAACATTCAATATGAAATCGTGCACAATACTCTTGCATACACTCAAATCCTTCGCAATTTCCTAGTGCTCACCCCCTTATGCAAAAGGGTGGGTCCAGGAAAAGTGCGAGAAGATCGTTGCAAAGGTTTGCACTAGCCTCGTGGATAACATGCCTAGGAGGGTGCAGATGGTGATCAAAGCCAAGTGTTGGTGGAGTAGGTACTAGAAACGTTGCTAAGAAGTTTGCCATTTGTCCTGGGAAATAATTGTCCGGATGTGCTCTTTGCATATCTTTTGGCACTAAGTTAGATCCAGTGAACTATTATGGATTTTATCGCTGTGAACACATCCACTATGTGCCCCTCCCAAAGTGTACCGCCATTAAACATTAAGACTTTATGTGTAGTGGTCGGAAAGCCCAAAAACCCAAATTAATGCAAAACATCCGGACAATTGTTTCTGTCACTGTAATCTGATCCATGTCTAAGTTAAACATAGGCACACAGTGGCGCAGCAGACTGGGCCAGTCGGGGAGGTCCGGGGCCAGGCCGAAGCGGCGGCGGAAGAGGTCGTCGAGGCGGCGGAAGCAGCGGGCGGCGGCACACAGTGCCACGAAGGGGCCCGGTCTGGAGCTGGTACTGGCAGCCCACACCACCGAAGCTGCCGGTAGATGCCGAGCTGCGAGGACCGCCGCCTCGGCCACCACCTCAAGGGGCTGGCAGGAGGCGGGCCCACGGCTCCTGCTGCTGCGACTGCTGCGGCTGCTGCGGCTCCTTAGCACTCGCCCCAGCCCCCTCGTCAGAACCACTGTCACCACCACCACCACCACCACCACCACCACCACCACCACGCCCTCCCTTGGTGTCGCGACGGCCCCGACGCTGGCGCTGCTACTGCGGAAAGGCCGCCGCTGCGGTCTCAGGAGCAGGAGTAGCCGTGGCGACCGCGGCGGAGTCGTCCGCGTACGTGCACTGAGAGAGAGCACAACCCTGAAAGATAGGGACTGCCGCAACACCGCTCGACTGGGCGATAGTGCGCTGGCGATTCTCTATCTCAGCAAGGGCGGCTACAAAGGCAGTCAGGGTGAGGTCACCTGGGTGCTGGCTAAGGAAGTGGTCGCGGGCAGTGGCTAGGCGGTCAAGGAGGCGCATGGCAATTAGGTACAGTGTAGCGCAGAACGGTAGTGCTTGCGGCGCGGTAGCTAGTCTCTAGTGCACGAAGGTGAGTGGCAAGATCAGCAACAGTGGGGAAAGCAGAGAGATATGGGAAGAGCATGGGGAGGATCATGCGGCCAGCTGAGGCAGAGGCAAGCGTGGAGTAGCAGTCAACTACAGCATCTAAGAAATCCTTGGCGTTCGCGACAATAGTGAAACGCGGACGCTTAGAAAGAGGAAGGGCATGACTAATGGCAAGTTGCGCGACAGCATCGCGAGAGTCCCAGACAGCGTGAGCGAGTGCAACAGCAGCTAAGGCCTCACTCTCAGCAGTGGTGGGGGCAGCAGGGAGGGGAACAGGGGCGGGGGGGCGGGGAAGCAAGCCATCAACATGCATAGCCAGAGAGTGCCCATCCTGGCGCTAACCTGTCAGGTGCCGGCGGAGATCGACAAGCCAGGCGGCGAAGTCGATCGCGTGACCCTCCGCGTCCAGACGAAGCATGGCGTCCGCCATCGCTCAACCACAGGGGCACGGCGGCATAGGGACTCAGCGGCACGGCGGCACAGGGACTCAACAGCACGGCGGCACAGGGACTCAGCGGCACAGGGACTCAGCGGCTCGACGGCAAGACTCTCCGAAACTGATCGGAAAGGAAAGGCCAAGGAGGGTGCGCGGGGAGTCGAGGCGCACACGGGGCCGGGGTGTGGAGAGGAGCCGGCAGAACGCGTGCGCAGGAGAGGGGCCAGCTAGGTGGTAGGGGTCGGCTAGGTAGTAAGGGCCGGCTAGGCACGAGGGGCCGGCTGGCGCGAGGGGCCGGCTAGGCACGAGGGGGGCCGGCTAGGCACGAGGGGCCAGCAAGGGCGCGAGGGGCCGGTCAGGCGCAAGGGGCCGGCGAGGTGCGAGGGGCCAGCTAGGCACGAGGTGCCGGCTAGGCGCGAGGGGCCGATGAGGCGTGAGGGGCCAGCTAGGGCGCGAAGGGGCTGGCGGAGCGCACGGGTCGGGCGACTGCGCGAGGGGCCAGCTAGGGCGCGAGGGGCCAGCTAGGGCGCGAGGGGCGGGCCGGCTGGACGCGAGGGGCCAGCTAGGGCGCGAGGGGCCAGTGAGGTCGCGAGGGGCCAGCGAGGGCGCTAGGGGCCAGCGAGGTCGCGAGGGGCCAGCGAGGGCGCTAGGGGCCAGCGAAGGCGCGAGGGGCCGGCTAGGCGCGAAGGGGCTGGCGACAGCGCGAGGGGCGGGCCGGCTGGTCGCGAAGGGGCCGACGAGCACGCTAGGGGCCGGCTACGGCGCGAGGGGATAACGGGCGCGCTAGGGGCTGGCGAGGTGCGATAGGCTAGGGCACGGGGCGGAAGCAGGTGGGGGGGACCTAACCTACGCATGATACCATGTTAGAATACTAGAATGAGTTGAAACATGAGAGAACAAGCAAAGTATAGGGTTGGAGTTGTACTCTCTAAGAGCAAACACCTATCTAGCCTATAACTTCTACATACTAACATATGTATAAGTTGACACATGGAATCTGCCAGCAAGGGCGAGACATGCATCATGTGACGTGGGCCAGCTGGGCGGTCCGCGTGAATACGGTGGGGATATGGGGTCACATATGTAGACAGGGGGGTACATGAAAATCCTGGGGTATATGACATGGGCCAGCTCGGCAGTCCGGCGTGCGACACAGAGAAAACATATAATCTAAAAATTTTACCTAGAGGCGTAAGGGTGGTACACAAAATCAACTCTGAAAATCAGAGAATCAGAGTAATTTACTCGTGAAAAATAGGCACTGGTTTTTACGGTATCACCAAACAAAGACAACCCAGAGGAATGAAAGCACTTTGTTTATAGCACTTTGTTTATAGTGCTTTGTTTATAGTGCTTTCGTTATGTAATACCACTGTACTCCCCAAATCATTCTGTCCTAAAGAACGACTGCTACACATGCCCCAGAAACGCCTCCGCACTTGTCCATCCATGTGTCTGTGTTGCTCCCTATGCTGTCTTCTACCTTCCTACGTCATCTGCTTGGCTTCCTAATCCCTATGGCACTGCAACAGTGCAATTCAGCATGTGGTGCTCGCTACCACAGCCTCCGCCACAAGCACACACACATGGGATGGCATGGGGATGTCTTTTGGGACACCTCATAAGTGGTGTTCTCTACCACAGGCACAGGCACAGCGCACATATGGCCATCCCATGAGGGCGTAGAGGTAGTGTGGCCGAGGAGGAGCAGGTGAGGGTGGGAAGGGGGAGATGAAAGGGAGAAGGGCGGGGCGGGGTGGACAGAGGGATGGAGAGGAGAGAGGCAAGGAGGAGGGGGAGGGAGGTGGAACAGAGCATGAGGGAGGAGGGGGGGAAAGAGGACCGCCCCCGCTAGCCAATCCTCCCTGCCAGTGCCTCAGTCCCTGTCGCTGCTGTACCTATCCCTATCCTCGTACCTGCCTCTGCCTCCCCCCTCTCCTCCCCGCCTCACAGGACTCAGAGACGACCTCCTCCCCCCGCCCCTCTGCGCATACCTATCATCATCCTCCTCTCTCCCCCTGCTGCCCTGCTTCTGCCCATCCATCCCCTCCCCATATGCCATGGGCCTGCGAGCCCCCACAGGTGACACACTCCCTCTCCTCCTCCCTCCTCCACCTGCTCCTCCCCCTCTAGAGGAATCTTCACCATAGTCATCATACCGATCATTGCCACCACCATAACCATAACCACCACCACCACCGCCGCCGCGGCCACCACCAGTGGAGCCCGTCGATCCGCCTGTGTACGATCGGCTATACCCACTGGGCCCATACCCATCCCCATTATCCCTATCCCCTTGACCCCCCCCCCCCCACCACCAACAGCACCAGCACTACGCGTGTAATAGTCGTCCTCACCATACTCCCCTCCCCCTCCACCTGCTCTCCCCCTCACCTGCCCCCTCTCTCTCTGCTCCCCTGTTTGACTCCTCAATAAATACGACTCCGGACCCCTATGCTCCCTCTCCCCTCCCCCTCCCCCATACACTCCCCTCAGGCCTCCCCCTCCTCCCCCGTACCCATACCCACCCCCCTGCCCTATCCCTGCCTCCGCTTCCTCCCTTAGTTGTCTCCTCCTCTCACTCCTCTCGATCGACTCCATGCTGGCGCGCCTTACCAGGGGAGGGATCGTCCCCCCATCACCACCACCACGGTTCCCTGATAGGGACTGTTGAAACAGCTCCGAACGCATCTGCTCTCGTTGCGCCAGGTACGAGCTACCCGCAGCATTCCCCCCTCCTCCCCCACCTCCGCCCCCTCCCATGCCGCCGTATTCCCCCCGGGGGTTGTTCCCACCCACTCGTCCAGCAGCCGCGCCACCGGCGCCAGCAGCAGCAGCACCTTCGTTGGCCCACTTTGGCTTGGCCCACGCACCCCCCTTTGCCTGCTGTCTCGACGCCTCCTGGGGACGAGAGGCGGATAGAAGGCGCCCAGTGGGGCAGGGTGGGGGGGGGTTGATGGTAGGTGGCAGGGGAAGGGGAGGGGAGGAGGCGGAGAAAGTGGGGGAAGGGAGGAGGGGGAGAGGGGGGAGGGGAAGGGGGGGGGGGTTGAGGATGGAGCTAGCTCTTTGATGGCTGGGGGAAAGGAAGTGCGGGATGGACGGGAATGAGGGCATCGGTGGAGGAACCACGTGGCATGATCACTGATGTGGGGCGAGGAGAGGGCAGAGACATGTGCATGAAAGGAACTGGCCATGTGCCAAACTGGTCACATGGCACGTGCCACGTGCCACGATGGGTGATCAACCCTTAAGGGCCAACAGTGGGTTCCGGATCGGCGAGACTCAATAATATGATCAATATAAAAGCCAGGCTCTTGCGTCTGCTTAATGAGTCGACTCAACACAATGAGTCTGCTTTTGAGTCGACTGAAAACAAAGCAGCGGGTTTCGGGTCGGCGGGACTCAGAGATGAAGATAGAGATTGCGGAGGTCAAAGGCTGGAGAATCGGGGAAGGAAAAGAGAGAGGGGTTATGTAGGCCGGTGCTCCGCTCCTGGCTGTTTCACTAACCTTGTTTCACCAACCGTGTTTCACCAACCTTGTTTTGCCAACCTTGTTTCACTAGCCTGGTTCACTAACCTTGTCTCACCAACCTTGTGTCACCAACTTTGTTTCACTAGCCTTGTTTCAGTAACCTTCCTTCACTAGCCTTGTTAACTAACATTGTTTCAAGAACCCTGTTTGGCATCTGCTAGTGTAACATCTTTGCAAACAGTGTTTTTTTGTCACACTCAGCATGCCTCTGCCTTTGTCTCTACCTCTGCCTCTGCCTCTGCCTCTGCCTCTGCCCTTCTCTAGCATAATCTGTGAGCCCATGGGACTTATGTGTGCACATGCAAAAGCGTGTGTCTCTTTGTGTACGAGCAATGAGCGCACAAGGAGAGGAGAAAGGGGAGATGGGGGAAAGAGGAGCGGATGGGGAGGAGTGGACAGAACTTAGCAGCAAGGAATCAACGGCAATTGACTCGACTCGCCACGCGTTGCCTCTCTGTGGGCTGCCCTGTGAGCGCCCGTTGCAGCTCCATCTCCTCCGTCTCAAACGCCTCCTGAGTGGACGCAGCTTTGTGGCATGGGCCGGGCGACGCTCCTCGCAAGGCCCACCTAGGAACGACAGAACAACTGCACTCGTGTGACTCGACTCGACTCGACTCGACTCACCACGCGTTGCCGCTCTGAGGGCTGGCCTGTGAGCGCCCGTTGCAGCTCCATCTCCTCCGTCTCAAACGCCTCCGCTCTCCTCCTCCCCCCTCCCGCTCCTCCCCCCCCACGCCCATCCGCGCCCCATCCCCCTCCGCCCACGCCCCTCCCTCCCCCTCCCCCTCCCCCCAAATCCTCCACGTCTTGGGTATTGAACCGTCTCCTATAGTCAACTTCTGTGCTCGACCGTTGATACTCCATCTCTTCCTCCCTCCCTCCTCCCCCCCCCCCTCTGTACGGTGACCCCCCTCCCCTGTACGGTGACGCCCCCCCGCGGTAAGGTGACCCTCCCCCGCGGTAAGGTGACCCTCCCCCGCGGTAAGGTGACCCCCCTCCCCTTGGCGCCCCCCCCCTTGCAGGCGATTCCCCCCTTGCCGCTCTTCTGGGGGACTTCCTCGCCTCCTCCCATCTTCCCCCTCCCCCCCTCCCCCGCCCCCCCTCCGCCATACTCCTCCACCCCCTTCCCCGCAGGGGAAACCGGCCTGGCCCCTCCGCCCACCCCTCCCCACGCTCCCTCCGCGCCTCCCCCCCGGACCCCCCCGCTGCTCTTGGGCCTGCCTTCCCCCCCGCTGGCGGGGCAGCCGTGGGGGGACCTGGGGGGGAGAGCCCCAGAGCCTCTCTCTACCCCTGACCCACCCGCGCCAAACCCCCTCACCAGCTTTCCTCTCCCCCATTCAACTTCCCCCCTCTCCCCTCCCCCCTCATCCCCACTCTTTAGCTGCTCAAACTCGTCATCTACAGACTCCAGCCCTACCCCTCCCCCCTCACTCTTCCTCTGCCGTTCCCTTTCCTCCTCCCCGCTCCTCCTCCTCTCCTCCTCCTCACTATCCGCCTCCCTATCTCCAGCCTCACCCCTCTCATCACCCCCACCCCCTCCATCCCCACCCCCACCACCCCCACTCCGCTTTCCTCTGCCCTTCTCCTCCTCCCCCCTATCGTACTTCTCGTGCTCTCTCTCCGCTGACCTCACTCCCCCCATAAAATTCTTTCGGAAATTCTTCTCAGCGTTGCTCCTCTCCCCTCCCCCTGCCTCTCCTCCCTCCCCTCCTCTCCCATCTCCCCCACATTCGCCACTCCCACCCCCTCCTTTACCGCTGCCGTCATCCGCGTTATTAGCCTCCTTGCTCTCCTTCCCCTCCCTCCCCTCTCTCCCTTCCTTCCCCTGCTTGCCGCTCTGCGTCTGCTCCACCTTCTTCCCAAATCCCCCCTCGCCTGAAGCAGCAGCAACAGCAGCAACAATGGCGGCGGCAGCAGCAGCACTGCCGGCACCAGGCGCGGTCACAGACCGAGGCATGGCCGCACGAACAACAGAGCCGCTACCTGGATTACCTAAGGTACCTGATCTAGGGATATCAGAGGAATGGGCGTCCTCCTCCCCTTGCTTCCCCCCCTGCCCATCACCCTTCCCTTGACTCTGCTGCCCTTCGGCCATAGCCTTCCCCCCTGCGCCACTTGACCTGTTTTCCCCCTTAGCTTTTCCACTCTCCCCCACGCCTGCTCCCGCTCCTCCTGCTCCCCTCCCCGCTCCCCCTGTCGCTGCGTCTGCGCCTGCGGCCTTCCCCGCGCCCCTTCCCCCCGCCTTAGCCGCAGCAGCAGCAGCCGCGCGCCTGGCAGCCGCGGAGCCTGCGGCGGGCGCACTGGGAGGGATTCCTGCCGCGCCCGCCACTGCGCCACCTGCTCCCGCGGCGTCCGCCGCCGCTGCTGCGGCGCCAGCGCTAACTCCCGCCCCTGCGCCCGCCCCCGCTGCATTCCCCCCTGCCTTTCCCCCCCGCCCACCCGTAGCCTTGCCCCCGGGCGCAGAACCACCTGGGCGCAGATTGGAGGGCGCGCCTGCAGCCGTTACGCCTGGAGCGCCCGCCACTCCCGGTGCTGCTCCCGCTGCCGCTGGTTGATTCCCCTGCGACGGCGCAGTGGAGGGGCGGCTAATCTCCATCGGCGCAGTAGTTTCCGTGCTCTTAGACCGCGCAGGCAGGAATGGCGAGCGCGACCGCGCAGGCTCTTCCGCCCCCGCCTCCCCCCCGCCAGGGGGGACTCCGCTGCCGATCCGCGCGAGCAGCCCGCCGCCCTTCTTGACGGCCTTGCCGCCCTTGCCGTCCTTGGTGGACGATTCGTCCGAGACCAGACGATCGATCATGGCGAAGAACGCTGGACGGCCCAGATGCTTCCGCGTCCTCAGCTTCTCAAGCATATCAACGGTCTCCACCGTTGATAAAGTCTCCCATACCGATTCATCCTTCTCCCCTGCTGCTGCTCCCCCTGCTGGTGGTCCCCCCCCTGCCCACCCCTTCCCCCCGCTCCCCCTCGTCCTCCCCTCCCCGCGCCTCCTCCCCCAGCTACGCCCACGCTTCCTCCCTTTGCGCGAGCCTTTTCCGCCTCCGCCGCCTTCTCCTCCCAATCAGGATCACTAACGAATATACTCACCACGCCGCCCCCTTCGTTAACATACTTAGCCGTATACGGCGCCCAGAAGGCTTCTATAGTTTTCATCTTAGGCGGCCGCGAGCGCGGGAGCCACGGCTCGGGCTTCGGAAGCGCGTGGAACATGGCCTGCCACGCCACGTGGCACGTGCGGATGCACGCCTGCACCTGCTCGCGGCCCTTGGCGCGCTCGTTAAAGCCAAACGCCTTACCCGCGTCGCCTTTCTCCGTGCAGTCGCACAGCCGCAGCCACTCCCTAATCTCCTCCAGGACTCCAGGTAACTTCCTGCTGACGTCAGCCACGTCGTTGAGCTCCTTCGCCAGCGGGTCGTCCGTCGCCACGGCGACGACCTTCCACGCGATCTTCGTCGCCTGGCTGATCGCCGCGAAAGCCGCCAACGGCTTCACCGAATAAACCTCCCCCGTGCGCGACGTGCGCGACCCGACCTCTATCACCTGCAGCGGCCTCCCGTCGTAGTGTATCCCCCCGAGCTCCTCATTCGGCGCGGCGGGGTCCGCCCACGTCTGCGTGAAGATCCCCAGATTCCACTGGCAGTTTTCCGCGTAATGCGCGGGCCGGCCGTTGCGCTTCAGCAGGCGCACGGGGTTGAAATTCTCGTCTTGCGCCACCTCGAAGTTCGCCCACTGCCCGCGCGCCGTCACGCACAGAAACGACAGCCCCTGCTCGAAGGAGCAGCTCTCCTGCACGCCCGGCGGCGGCGGAATCGCGCTCGGCGCCTTGGGGTCCGCGGCGGGGTACGCGGAGAGGAAGAGCGGGATGTCGTGCCAGGGGGAGAAGGCGCGGTACTGGGAGTCGAGGAAGAGGAGGCGGTAGAGGAGAGTTCCCGGAGAGCCGAACTCGAGGGTGGTCCACCAGGGGATGATGGCGCCGCTGCTCGTCGTCGTCATGGCGTGCGCGCGAGACTGTGACTGCGTGTCAGAGAGTGAGTGTGTGCGAGCGCGTGAGTGTGAATGTGCGTGTGAGTGTGAGTCAGCGGCTGCGTGTGCGTGAGCCTGTGCGTTGCGTGTCTCTCTCTCTCTCTCTCTGCACGGAGCTACGCTGTCGCGACGAGGGAAGATGCAGGAGGAGCGGGGGAAATAAGCGGTGTGCCGCGGCGGAGCGTGCGCGTGTGTGCTGCGCTACCCTTCGTCCCCCTCTTACCCGAGGGAAGCCGTGTGCGCAGTCCCGGGGGGCCTAGCTCTCCAATGCGGAGGGCAGGGAGGTTCAGTGACAAATGAATGAGCGAACATCAAGTGGCGAGTCGGCTGTCCTAGAGCGACCTGCGTACTTAACTGCAACGGTGTAGTAAACCGTACTTTGACGGGACAATATGATATGGTACGACAGCTATCGGTTTTTATGGTTACGTAAACGGGAAGCGGTTCCAAAACCTGCAATATTACTGCTTTCGCACTTAGCGGCACTCTAGGCTGTGTGGCTGTTTCGAAGACAAAAAAACCAGAGGTATGCGACCCGGGGGGTTTGTCGCGCACTACTCGACTCACTAGTAGCCATGAATCGCGATGTCTCTGGGCGCAGGAGGGCAGGCCAGCACAAGCAAAAGACTGAGACCGCACCACATCTACAAGCCTCGAAAATCCAAGTCCGCCCCGCAGGTAACAGGCGCAGCAATAAACTCCTATGGCTGAATGGGTAGTGAGGCGGGAGGGTCCATGGGATTGGATGGGAGGGGACAAAACAGGAGGAGGAGCAAATATGCAGCAGCGTGGAGCGGTTTGGGGCAGGCAGAGGCGGTGGTGGTGTGGTGAAGCTGGGTGGTGGGGAAAGGAAAAAGGAGGTGGCGGGCGAGTGTGGGATGTGAATGTAGGGAAATGGAAGGGAATGGGATGGGAGGGACGGGAGAGAGGGGAGGGTAGTGAGTAGAGGGGCGGAGCGGAAAGCCTAGCAAGGCATGGGCCGGCGATACGCATCATATCTGCGGTGGGGAATTCATAAAAGTGAACCACCCGTCTCAGAAATTCAAAAATAGTTGTTTTTTTCCAATCACAGCTCTGGCTCGCGGGGTGTGGAAGATAGCGTTGGGCACTTTCGTAAGTGCTGAGATATGAGCTCTGTGGAAATGGATGGGGTCGTCAAATAGAAACTTTTAGACGTTGTGAACGGCCCCCGGACGTGGCAGCGGTTAGCTTGACAAATAGGTTCGTGGCACCTCATCCCCCACTTCCCCGCACACCCCTGGCAACACGTCGGTGGCGAGCTTCGAGGCCTCAGCGTCGTGCTTTCCCGCCAATTCCTCCTGTGTCACCCAAAGCCGCGCGCTACCGTTGCTCTGGATGAAGGTTGCGATTGTGCTCAATACCAATCTCGTTAAAAGGTCCTATGTAATGCCTTGTGCTAGTCTGCACCTATATGAATCTGACCCTTCGCATTCCCCAATTCATGTTGTGACAAAATCAGCTAAGGACTTTAGTTGCTTCGTGCTGCCCATACATCTAGTTCAAGATAACTGGGTCGCAACCCACTATCCATCTATATCAGCACACCTACTTAGATGCTTTATGGGCTATGAAACAATCACTCAATGCCATGTGTAATGAATCGCAAAGAGCGTGTGTCGAAGGATTGATTAGCGAGGAAACAATACAACTGAGTCACATCAAACAGCAGGGAGCATGGATATAGCTACCCTAGGGGCACACGGTCGTGGCTCGGCAGAGCTGCGACGTGTGGTTCGTAGTGTCAACAAATATAATTGTCTATGCTAGGTACAGTATATTTGTTATGGCCTTTGTTAGGTCAGTTCTTAGAGGGTGTCGTGAAGTTAGGCTAGGTAGGAATAGGTGAAGCCATGAATATGGCGTGAGATCTAGATCTAGGAGGTAGGCGAGAATGTCGAGAGAAAAGAGGACTAGGAAAGAAGAGAGAGGGATACAAGGAGGGGTGTTGTACCCTCTACAGTAATGCTCAGTAACATCTACCAAGCCTACACTTATATAATAACTTATATAATTTAACAGAGGGTACATTCCCACCTTTGTAACCCTCAGCCTTCCTCCCTTATTCACTTTTCTCTCGACATTCTAACATGGCATCTAGAGCTAGGTCTCGCCCTCTACTCACGCTTCCGCCCTAGCACACCCTAGCCTAGCGCGCCTCGCCCCTAGTTGCACGCCTTGTAGATCATCCCCTCCCCGCCCTCCTCTGCTCATCGTGTAGCTCGCGTCGGCTAGCGCCAGCCGCCACCAGCTAGTGCCGACCAGCGCCAGCCGCCGCTAGCCCGAACCGCATTGGCGCCTTCGTTAGTCGCCGATCCCCCCCCCCCGCTCGATCGTAGCTCGTCCCTGACGCCAGCGCCAACCAGCCCGCCAGCTCGCCAGTGCCAGATCACATGTGTTAGCCGCCAGCGCCAGCTCGCCAGCTGCTAGCCGTCAGCGCCAGCTCGCCAGCTCCTAGCCGCCAGCTGCTAGCCGCCAGCTCGCCAACTGCTAGCCGCCAGCGCCAGCTCGCCGGCTGCTAGTCGCCAGCTGCTAGCCGCCAGCGCCAGCTCTCCAGCTGTTAGCCGCCAGCGCCAGCTCGCCAGCTCCTAGCCGGCAGCTGCTAGCCGCAATCTCGCCAGCTACTAGCCGCCAGCTGCTAGCCGCCAGCGCTAGCTCTCCAGCTGCTAGCCGCCAGCGCTAGCTCGCCAGCGCCCGCCCGCCGCTTACCCGCACTAGTCAGTAGCGCCAACTGACTCCACTGCCCGCCAGCTGCCACTGCCAGCTGCGCCTCTCCGCTGCAACCACTGCCTCTGCCACTGCTGCAGCTTGCTCTGCCACTAGCTCTGCCGCTGCAGCCACTTGCACCGCCGTCGCGGCCATTGTTGCAACTGCTGTTGCCACTGCCGCTGCAGCCGCTTTAGCTGCCGCTGCTACTACTGCCACTGCTGCCCCTGCCGCTGCCGCCACTTCCCTTGCAGCCGCCGCTGCCCTTGCAGCTGCTCCTGCCGCTGCTGCCCTTGCAGCTACCATGCCGCCCCCTGCAGCTGCCCCTGCCGCTGCAGCCCACACTGCCACTGCAGCCGCTGCTGCCACCACTGCCGCGACTCACCCGTACCCACGTAGCCGCCTCCGCTAGCCAGCTCACTGCTGGCCTGCTGCCATCCTCACCTCGCTGCTAGCTAGCCGCCCTCGCTGCCACCGGCTCCAGTAGCAGCCGCCCCAGCTGTTCCTGCTTCTCCCGCCACTGTCTTTCCGGCTGCATCTGCCAGCATGGCGTCGCCCGGCGTCTTCGTTCTGCGTCTGGATGGGGAGGGCCGGGCAGTCGGTTTTTCCGCGTGGCAGGAGGCAGTTCTCCTTCAGCTCACGAGTCAGTGCGTCGACAACGAGTCTTTGGACGCCCACGTCTCTGGTGAGCTCCCCACTATCCCTCGCCCGGGCGCTCCTGCTCATGATGCCACATCTGAGCAGACGGGTGTGCACGCTGCTGCTCGTACTGCCTACTCTATCTGGGCGTCTCACGACGCCACTGCTCGAGTCGCCATCCTCAGGTGCCTGCCGGTTGCCGAGCACTCCCACTTTGTGGGTGCTGCGTCAGCCCGCGCCCTCTGGCTGGCTATCCTAGCTAGGTACTCCACCCCGTCGTCTGCCACTCTTGGTCGCCTCCTCCTCCCTTTCTTCCACCCTGACCTGACGACGTTCACCACTGTAGCAGACTTAGTCGAGCACCTACGTTCTCTCAAGGCTCGCTGGTGTGCGGCCTGTACTGAGGCCCAGCTAGCGCTCGCCCCGCCCCCCCTCTTCGCCACTGTCTACTTCGTTGTCACCCGCCTCCCTGACCGCCTAGCCCCTGCCCATGACGCGCTCCTTGCTCGTCACCCCTCTGAGCTCACCATTGACCTCTTCTCCACCTCCCTGACTGAGATAGAGGACCGCCTCCGCGCTATCGCCGGTTCCACTTGCACGCCGGCGGTCCCAATTTTTCAGGGCAGCGCTCCCTTCCCAGTAACAGTCCCTGCCTTCGCCTCTGTAGTTGAGATAGCAGCGGCTACCTCTACCTCCGGCCGCTCATCTGGCGGCAAGGGCAAGGGCAAAGGGGGCAAGGGTCGTGGAGGGTCGGCAGCAGCAGGTGGTGGGGGTGAGGGTGCAGACGGAGAGGGTGGTCAGTCGGAGTTGGGGACTGCACAGCAGCCGCAGCAGCCGCAGCAGTCTTGGGGGCCAGCGGGCCCTAGGGGTGGTGGTCATGGTGGAGGCCGTGGGGGTTGGGGCCCAGGGCTGTCGGTGCCCTAGGGGTCGCGTGGCTCTTCTGTGGGTCAGGGTGCTGGTGGTTCTGGTAGCGCGGTAACCTGCACGTACCAGTTGCTGACTGGCCCACAGGCGGGCCAAGTGTGCGGGCGCGTAGGGCACACCGCCGCTCGCTGCTTCTGCCGCCTAGATGATCTCTAGCGTCCTCACTTCGGCCCGCAGGTGCAGGTTCCCCCCTGGCCGGTCTTGCTTCGTTCTTGGAGTTCCTATATTTGATATGGATATGATTCAGACTGACCATGACTTATATTATCTGTATTCTGATGCTTCTAGTGTTGCTAGTTTTTATTATCCTGCTGTTTGTAGCCTTAGAGCTACTGCTGTGTGTAGTCTAGGATTCCCTGCTGCGTCAGGCGTAGGACCTGTTAGAGACTCTTCACCGGGCCCCCCCTCGTCGACCCTCTCCTTTGTCTTAGACTCTGGAGCGTCTCGGTGCTTCTTTCGAGACAGTACTACTCTCACCCCGCATCCTAATCCTGTCCGCGTCGCACTAGCAGACTCCTCCGCCATAGCTGTTGCACGTAGCACCACCTCTCTCCCCTGTCCGGCTGTCCCTTCCGGCTCCCTCACTGTTCTGCACATCCCCTCGTTTGCTAGGAACTTAGTGGATGTTGGTCACCTCCAGGACCGAGGCGTCACCACTACGTTCCCTAGCCGCGAGAGACACACTGCTTGCACAGACACAGTCACCGATCGACACTTAGCTACCTTTGAGCGTGACCCTGGATCAGGTCTCATTACCCTGCACACTGAGTCCCTGCTCACTATTGCGTCTGCCGAGGTCGCCGCGTCCTGCTCCTGTCGCTCACTAGCCCACCCGACCCTTCTGTGGCACCACCGCTTAGGTCACCCTGCACTCCCGCGTCTTACGCACATGTCCCAGTACAGTCTAGTCACTGGTCTCCCCGTGTCGCTCCCCACCTTGCCTTCGTCGGTAGCGCCACTGTGCACCTCCTGTGTCGAGGGCCGGCAGCACACCGCCCCTCACTCCTCCTCGTTTCCTCTTACCACAGCACTGCTACAGACACTGCACATGGACGTCTGGGGCCCTGTCCCGGTCCATGGTCTCAATTGGCAGCGCTACTTCCTAGTCGTCGTTGACGACTTCTCGCAGTTCACCACAGTTTTCCCATTGGAGCGGAAGGCCGACGTGCCGACCGTTCTCTTCCCGTGGCTTCTCACTGTTCGCACCGCCCACCGACTGTCAGTAGGTCGCTTACACTCTGACCGCGGTGGCGAGTTCGCCTCTGGCTCTCTAGGACGGTTCTGTCGTGCGGAGGGCATCCGCCAGACATACACACTGCCGGACTCCCCACAGCAGAATAGGGTTGCTGAGCGACGCATCGGCCTGATCATGGAGGTGGCTCGCACCTCCATGGTCCATGCCGGTGCACCCCATTTTCTGTGGCCATTCGTCGTGCGCTACACTACTCACCAGCTTAACCTGTGGCCGCGCTCCCAGCGACCACAGGTTTCGCCGACC